GGGGGAAGCCCAATGAGTCATATGATGGGACGGGGATGTGACTTTCAGAGTAAAACAACAATAGTATTATTGGAATTATAGACACTGAACACAATTTACACAAAAACAGCACAAAAAACTGTGAATATTGTTTCTTAAAAAGTTATTGCTCAGTACAACATAAGCACAACTTATTGTGCTTTTCCTTATTTTCTGTTGAGTGCTGTTGTCATGAGGTCAGAGCAGATGTACCTAATGTGGCCGTGCAGAAAGCTCTGCACCACCTGCCCTCTACTCAAACCGTTTCAAGAGACAGCAAATGAGAATCGAGCTGGATTAAACAGAGCTAAAAGCCTTATTTCTGAATCAGCTAAGAATTGCACTGAAGCACGGTGATAAGTATAAATAAGGATCATTTTAAACTGTGACTCATTCATAGTCCAAGAATAAAATGCATCGCCTTTAACAGAATCAAAAAGACACAGTGACAGCTGAGATTTTCTAAAACACAGGGCAGTAACCAGGCATCTAAAAAACAGAGAGAATGGAGACCTACCTGCTGAAGTTGAAAAGCAGCCGTTCAAACACCAAAACGGGGCCAGTGCTGCTGAGGATGATGAGAGGCTGACCACCCAGCAGACAGAAAACGCCACCAGCAATGGCTGTGCCCAGAAAACTCTCCAGCACACCCTGCACACATGTTGGAAAGCAGTCAGGGAAACGCTCACAGCGTAAACGGTGAACGCTCTTCAAACCGTCACATGGTGCAAAAGCCTGACCTGCATGTTCTCCGTAGCGTCTCCCAGCAGACCACCAAAGGTGATGGCGTTCGTTACAGTTCCCAGGTAAATAAACATAATAGCCGACAGGGCCTGAATGTGAAACGCCTCGGTGAAGTCACTGACGAAGAAAGGCGCTTTTCTCTTGATGTCAAGTTTGAGACCCCCACAAAACCTGAAACAGGACAAAGCAAAAGGTGAGTCGCTGTCAGTGGTATGGACTACTAAAGCCAGCAGCTCGTTTTGATGCACCGAGCATGACATTCACACACGCGACACTGGACAGTGTCGTTTCACTCAATATTCAATATGTTAGGTAAAAACAGTACAGTGCTCCCAACTATTGCATGCAGATGACATCGCTTTGTTCAAAGTGTCATACTTTCCCGTCTTCCTGAGCTCTTCGCCTACAGCATGTCCTCCTCCATGACCTCCATCGTGAGGCATGTCTCCGTTCATCTGAGAGTCGCCTCCTGCATACATGTTTTTCCTGAAATATATATGAAGGCAAAGATTTGTTCAGCAGCAGGAAGTCAGAGTACCTGATCCAGGTCCTACAGATACTGGTATGTGCTGGGAGATCGATCGATCATAGAAGAATCATAGAAGGTCGAGTTATTCTAGAGTTACTACATGCCAGCTTTATATAACCAGCTCTTTCATAATTGAACACTGTTGTCCACCTGGTTGCACCTCAGTGATGTTACTCTCCTGGAACGTCTCATTTTTCCGTCTTTTATCTACAAACGTCTTCTAATCTTGCACTGGTCCTCTGTGTTAACATCTAGGCAGACATATTTTCATGCTGCTGGTTATTAAATGGCTCTTTTAGACACGAGCTGCCAGAGTTAGAGCAGACTTTGGGTCACATGAAGTGTGCATGTTAGGTGAAGTGTTTGTGCTGACACAGGTTTAATGAATGACCAGCACACTAATATACAGCCCCACGTCTTTAAATCAATCAACTCTTTTGGTTTCAGATAAGATCACAGTGACAACTTCCCTCTGAACAACTAACGCTTATTTTTTAACATATTTTTTTCCCACAAACTCTGATATGACCCATTCTGCGTATCTTCTTTAGTGACAGGCAGCTTTTTCTTCAATCATCAAATCTGAATCATGTAAAACAGACAAGTTTGAGCTCACTGACCTTTTGTCAGAGGAGGGGAGGGATTTTGGAGGCTCTATCCTGATGGCTGGGTCCCATTCTCCAGGAGGAAGCACAATCACCTCATCCAGAAACTCGTCAATACCAGCCAGCAAATCTTGTCTGTCCTTGGCCTTATATGCAATGTCATGAAAGACCTGAACACACAGAGGGGGAGAGATGGGGCATTCAAGTGTAAAAGACACCTGTCAAAGAATCCAGGGTCACGGGGCAGCAAACTGCAATATCAGATCTAAGGATTGTGAACTAATCCCATCTGGTAAATCCCAAAACGCTGGAGGGGGACAGAGATGCAGTTTGTTTTCATCACAACAATAACTCTCATAATGTACCCCAGCATGAATATAACATTAAAGAGGTGCCTGTCCCATCTAGTTTTATTTAGTTTGCATTTAAGACCTGGCCCCACAAAGGTGTTATTCATAACCACTCAATTATACAGCGCTGTAAATATCTCAGTGTCCACAGTGATACAGTACATTAACCTTTCATATTCATGGGAGGATAATGTGGTTCACTGGTTAAGTTCTCCTCCAGACACTGGCATGTGTTTGGAGGGGAGCATGTTTAATCAGGCTTGTTTTATTGAGTGTAATCAGGTGTGGGATAACTGCATGGGACGGGAACCCTCCTGTGTCACTGAAATCAAAGTTAGCTTGCTTAGTTCAGACTCGCTGCAGTCTGTGCATGTGCCGCTATAGCCTCCAAACTGGTTTCAGGTTTTATTATAAACTGGTTTTTAAACATTTTGTAATAAAACTTTATGACTCATCCAGCACAATATATGTTCTCAGCATGAGCTGCTACTGTCGGGTAGGTTTAAGAGCCTGCTGAGGACTTTACAGAGCAGTGTGAAATAAATGAACCCTACATAGGTTACACTGCAGGGTCACTTCTGTGTGATGCCTGTTGTTTTGTTTCAGCTGGGGTTGTGTGCCATGTTTATCAGTGGGGACAATAAAGTATCTATTGATTATATCTATCTCAATACTGGCAAATACAAATGTTAAAGAGGTAGATTTTCCTCATTGGAGAGCCTAAAATAATGCTAACTGCTACTGCAGCTAGGACATGTCGCTGCACGACTGCAAAGATTACTGATTCAGCTCGTTCCCCAGACACGATGTCCAAGAGTTCACTTGGCACCAGCACTTTATCCTAAACAGGTTTACGTGAGGATCACATTTTAATGTCTAATATCTAAGATCTTACCTCATCCGACATCAGTGTAGCGATCGCTCTGCCGATCTCGTGGTACGACTTGGCTTTGCCTTTGGGTCCAAGCAAGATGAATAAAAATCTGAAGCCACGTTAAAAAAAACAGAGTACAAATTTAACAAAAAGCTTACAGGTTAAAAATATATTTTCTTATTTTAATTAGAGCCTTTTTGGGGCAGTTTGCATTTATTCAGATGTCATGCGCACACTTGGGGTCCCTGTGCAGTTTATAAAACATAACTCGAAGCTCAGAGACATTTTTGTTTTGTTCTGGCTGCAAAGATGCTGCTTTGTATGACAATCATCTATTCAGCTACTCTCCAATACAGATACGAGCAGTAAAGGATGTTGCTCACTATAAGAATAAACAAACTGATGATATAATGGATATGACACCATAACTGAGGCCTTGTCGTATAAATACCATGAACTAGCTTTAAATACTTTCACTGAAAAGTACTGAAAGTTAAATTGTTTTATGGCTCCTTTGCTTAAATATGAGAACAGACATCAGGTGTCAGTGATCAAACTTTATGATGCTTGTTTCAGTGAACAAACATCAGGTGAAACACCGTCATACATGTGTGTTTTACAGCTGTGATGCAATACTCTTTCATATTTTACTGTTTGTTGATCATAATAAAATATCCGGAATTATCATATAATCCACTTTTTATTGGATATTGCAGTGGAGCTTATTTCAAGCTCCACAGTTACTATGTTACTGGTGGACTGTGATGCTACAGCAGCTTTGCATGATTCACAGTTCAACATTATCATCATTTCCCTTTAAGCTAGGTTTATTCTGATTGGCTGCCGCTCTCAAAAGAAAGATTTGAACATCGGCCTCCTGTGCTCGAGCCAGAGCTGTGTGCCTGAGATATCCACTCTGATTCATTCACATTCAGAAGATGTGACAGAGTTCCTGTCAAAATGTATAAACAACACATCCAGGTTGCAAACGGACAACCAGGAGTCTGGATTGGACAAAATTTCAGGCACCTTGTGGGAACAGGAACCTCCGTCAGGGCTCCCAGCATCACGGCCTGCTGCAGACGAACAAACGCCACAAAGGGCGCGTCCAGGAAGTCCACCTCCCCCACCAGCACGTTGGAGGCTTCTGCGTCTCTTGGCAACTTCTTCATGAATTTGTTCTTCAGCTGAAAAGCACAAAAGAGAAAAGCAACAGGAGTTGAGAGGTGCTCCGTTCACACCAGCAAGCCGTCTAGAAGCACGCACTCGAAATTAAAAGACCTATATCAAACGAGGCAATCCCATTCAGGTTAAATACCAAACCAGGCGTCCCCCATGGTGCCTAAATAAGAAACAAGCAGTAAAATGAGCATTTCTTCTCGACGTAATGACACAGACATGCCAGGAGGTCAGCTACATGTCTGTCTTTCATGGGACTTTTATCTGTACGACGGCTCATCCTTATGTCATTAATGTGTCTGCATACACAGAGAGGGGCGGCAGTAAACCAGTGAGGTGTTAAAGACGGCTTCAGTTTGGATTCGGTCATTTTTCAGAGGTTTGTTTTTTTCATGCTTTTGTTGCAGTCGTGGATTTAATGTTTTCTTTTTTATCCTTTTTACCCCGGGCCTCAGACCGGTACCGGTCCGTGAGTCGTTTGGTACCGGGCCGCGAGAGTTGAGGCTCAGCTGTGAAATGTGTGGTTTTCAGGGTTTTTATCGGTTTTCAGCGTTATTTTGTTATCGTTTTGATCGTTGACTTGGTTTTCCTGGGTCTTTTCACGTGTGTTATGAATAAATCTTCTTTTTTTCTGTACCGGTACCGGTTTTATTTTGTTGTATTTTTCCGCGACACCTTAAAGGCCGGTCCGTGAAAATATTGTGGGGCATAAACCGGTCCGTGGCACAAAAAAGGTTGGAGACCGCTGCTCTAGAGTTCTTGTTGGCAACCAACAATTATCGGTCCAGACAAGTTTTGAGGCACCAAACTGAGTAACAAATACTATTAAAAGTGACTTGAAAAGCAGCTCTGCCAGCTGTTAAATAGCCTGCTGTACACACAGACTAACATACATATTCAAATGACAAACAAATGCAGACGACATACTGGGCTTTCTCAGCGTCTAAGGACTGAAATCCCATAAACTTGTGACCTTCCACTGTTAACAGCCAAACACATCCAATCACAGGCTGTTGGGCCATCTTGGCAAAGAGTTTGTCTGTAAATGATTCAAGTCAAGAGGTTAAACCTGTGTAACTGCACACCACGGCCTGTGTCCAATCCCAGCTAATCCACACCGCGCTCGTAAACCACGTACACCTGAATCTGTTGTTTACTGCCCTAAGACACAAACGCAATATGCATGGACCTGAAATGTTTATTAGCACGTTTAAAATGAGCCAGTGCAAAGATCAAAGTGAGATCTGAGATGTGACATTTTCTTTAATGTGTTAAGAAATTAGAGGCACCAAAAACCCACTAAAAGCATCCCAACATTTTCAGAACTGCGTTTGTTGAATATGATACAATATAATATTTAGATGTTGTTACTCAGGTTCAAATTTAAACTAATACTTGTAAGGCCTTGTAAAAGTAACACACGGTGAAGAGAAAATTAATTATATACGTTTGTAATTCATCTGTGCACCTCGAGTGGCTGCAGTCTCTGTATGTTAATCTGAACAGCTCCCGTCTTTATCTTATCTCTACATTAGCAACAAGTTATCAGTCACGATCGCTCCATGTGGAAACGTCATTATGGTATTTATGGGCTGAGTGGGTGTGGAGGAGCTTCGGTTTAGGAGATTCGTTTCCTGCCTGGGAGTCTCTAATCTGTCCCACAGGAGACTCACTGGGTCCCTCTGACTGGGTCGCTCTGACCTAATTCCTCTCTCCCACAGGCCTCGTCTGGGATGAGGGCATATAAACCATATAAACCTGTCTGCTGTGAACTGGGGTAACATGACACATGGAATATGACAATACATACAATGAGAATGCATAGAGTACAGTCCAGAGAAGAGCTGCCATTTCAACCCAACATCACAACAAAACGTGTAATAGAAACACCGGTCCACTGTGTCCATTTGGCACTTTGCTTCTATGAATCGTATGACACGCATGCAGAATTTGCAATAAGTTGCAGTACTCTGCAGTAACAGCAGGGGGAGATATTTTATTTGAGTGTTTAACAGACATTATTATCACATTTATATGTGTATGTACACATTAACTGCTTAAGGCCTTTGGAATGTACTTTTTTTGAGCTTCTGTAGATCTTCACCTCACGGCTTTAAATGTATTAGCGCCCCCTGGTGGTAATGCAATTTCTGCATGCTATTTCATGGTCGACTGGCGTGTCTATTCTCCATCTTGCCGTGATACTGGGTTGGATATTTTCATGAGAAAGTAACTCACTGATTAGTTTAGATTAATCTGACTTTGTTAAATCTACTCAGTCTGGAAAATAAAATAATTTGTTCGTTTTAGTAATTAGCACAGCTACAATGTTTTTGCATTTATCCAGTCAGAAGTGTTTACATGTCACATTTCTGACTCACACAGGTAGACTACATGAGAAATATTCCAGGAGCTACACTTTGGTAATAAACAACCTTTGCAGATGCTACTTCACATGTTGGCATACAAGTAGTAAGGATAAGATAGCGTGAGGGCAAAGGAGCAGCGTGTCTCAAGTGTGTGGAAGCCTCTGACAAAACCCCAGAGGAAAACTGTGTTATGTCCTGTGGGCGTGTTAGATGATCTAAATATAGCAACAGTGCAAGTATTTGCCCCGTTCCCGATTTCTCCATTTTTTGTATGTTTCTCGCACTTAAATGTTTCAGATCAAAGAAATTTTAATATCAGACAAAGATAACCCGAGTCAATACAAACTGCAGTTTTTAAATGATGGTTTCATTCACTAAGGGAAGAAAAAAATCCAAACTATCCACCTGCCCTTGTGAAAAAGTCTTTGCCCCCTCCACGTAATTCGTGATGAGCCCTATTGTTTAAAACCTGGGTTACGACACCTGTTGTGTGTGTTTCTTTCTGAACAGCTCACTGTGTTATGGTAAATCCCTGCTGCGATTGGTGCGTGGAAGTATGGCTCCGGAATGACTGGTTCCAGCTGGAGGACCCGTCTTATAAATATAGCCTGGAGCACCGCCGGCAAGAGAGGTTCTCATGCTTCCCCTAACGCCTGAGCAGCCACGCCTGTGACAGCCGCCGGGTGCAGTGCTCCATAACAGTTGAAGTGGGGGAGCGAGTGCCTCATCCATGCTATGACCTGGCCCCTAGACGGGTTGTAACATGAACTGGGGGCTCATCCGCACCCGAAGTGAGAATCATTCCTCTAGACTCAGTAACAAATGTCACTGATTCCTGCTAAACAAGACAAAGTAAAGTAGGCTCAACAATCTCAAAATGAAACGCATCATGCCACATCTACAGCTGTCTCTATCAGTCTAGAAAGGGTTGCAAAGCCATTTATAAGGAACTGCAGTGAAACACAGTAAGAGCCATTATGGAAAAAATAAATGGAAAAAATGAAACCGTTGTGAACCTTTCCAGGAGTGGCGAGCCTACAAAAATTACTCCAAGAGCCCAACAACGACTCATCTGACTCAACAATAAGAAAGACACAGAGTAAAAATGTAAAGAGAAAAACACCGCAGACCAAACACAATACAAAGACATAGCTCAGATTTGCCAAACAACATCTTGATGATCCCCAAGACTTTTAAGAAAATATTCTGTGGATCGATGAAACAAAAGGCTTCAGACCTGTTATATGTGGTGTGGAACTACTTCAGCATTTCATGAAAAGAAAATCACACCAACAGTCAAACATGGTGGTGATAATGTGTTCGCCCGGGGCTGCTTTGCTGCTTCAGGACCTGGAAGACTTGCTGTAATTGATGCAACCATGAATTCTGTTTTCTACCAGAAAATCCTGAAGGAGGATGTCAAGCCATGAGTTTTGCTCAAGTGCACCACTTGGGTTTTGCAGCAGGACAATAATCTGAAGCACACCAGCAACTCCACCTCAGAATGGCTCAAAAGACAAATAAAGGGTTTGGTGAAGACTCCTCAAAGCCCGAGATGCTCTGTTGTGCCTTTAACAGGCAAATCTCCCCAGCTGTAGCTGAATGAAAACTATTCTGCAAAAAAGATTCTGCCAAAGTTTCTCCACAATCACATGAAAGCCTCACGGACAGTTATCACACTGGGAGCACTTCTTGCTCCCAAGGCCAAGGGTGGCACAGCCAGTAATTAGGTTTAGGGGGCAGTTACTTCTTCACCGAGGGCTGGTAGGAACTTTTTTTTGTCTTTTTTGTCCTCTTAATAAATTAAACCATGATTTGAAAACTGCATTTTGTATTTACTCGGGTAATCTTTGTCTGATATTAAAATTTGTTTGAACTAAAACGGAGGAATCAGGAACGGTGCAAACACGGTTTAATGGCACTGTAGACCAGCAGTCCCCAACTTTTTTTGCACCACAGACCGGTTTATGGCCAACAGTATTTCATGGACCGCCCTTTAAGGTGTCGCAGATAAATACAACAAAATAAAACCAGTACCACGAAAAAGAAGATTTATTGATAACACGTGGGAAAAGACCCAGGGAAACCGAGTCAACGATAAAAACAATAACACTAAAAACCAATAAAAACCCTGAAAACCATCAGTTTCACACCCGAGCCTCAACTCTCGCGACTCGCGACCGGTCCGTGGCCCGGGGATTGGGGACCGCTGCTGTCGACTGTAAGGCTGCAGAGGAAATTCAGTCTCTCTTTGCTGTTGATGACATCATCCTTTATCAGCCACAGCCTGATCCTCACTGCAGTCTAAAGTCGCTACACAAATTTCCACTTTAACCATCAAAGGAAAAGGCGGGGAAGGTTCAGAGCAGCTACAGCAGGCTGGGTGATAATACCAGGAGCTGGAACAATGCACTTTAGACAATGTTATCTCTGCTGTGAAGCAACAACCACGAAATACTCCGACGGGCCTCCTCAGCTCTGTTACATCCAGCCTACACCATGCAGCTCTGTCATGGAGTCCAGTCAGGCTTTTCTCATCTCTTCTGCCAGTGAACTAGCTTGTTTTTAGCCTCAAGCTTGAGAAATCAGACAAGCTGGTTCATTATATCTGTTTCAGAATAAAAGGCCATCAAGCGTATCGTTACATCTACACCACCTTAAACTGGGAACTTGGGAATACAGAGATCCATCCCCTTCATTTTCCAGGAAATATAAACCTCTCACCACTGAGTCTGATGGATTGGTGAGGGTTGGTGTCCAGAAACAGTACAGCAGATGCATGAGGGCGACTTACCTGGTCTTTCTCCGGTTTGTCAGAGACGTCATTCAGGCTGGTGGATGTCAGGTTCCTGGGAGTTGTGGTGGGACTATCTGTTCAGACAGGGCAACAATGACTAGTTAGACCAGCTTCACCCCCACTGTGGTCTAAGACTCAAGAGGAAAAGAGGCAGAAACCCAAAGTGGCCCAGACAATAAGCTCCTTACATGCTTTGCCAAAAGAAGAAAAAATACTCGTGCAAGCTGTAGGACAAAAGCTATTGTCTGTGATAAAGTAACTGGCCGATATTTAGGTCTAACCTGTCGGGTATAAAATGTGTGATCATATCAAATATCAACTTTTTACTTTGAATTTCAAATAAAAGAAGGCAGGAGGTCAAAAACGAAGAGTAAAATTACCATTATTAATGCATCTTTCTTGAGGTTCAATCAGCTTGTTGTGCTTTGATAATAATGAGATCTAGTGTCATCATTCTTACTGTCACATTTAAAGCCTTACTCTGTGGATGGACTTAATGGGTGCAGACACAAAATAAGTAGAAGATGATCCTGAAATGTGACAGCAGAACAGCAGAGATCAGAGGGAAAGAAAAACCTCAAAGAATGCAACAATCTGGTGCCACTGCAGCCTTTCATGCATCTGCACCTTTGGCACTGTTGGTAATAACGTGCATGTCAGTATGATGCAGCCAGATAAATTTTTTTTATAGGTGTAGTGTAGGTGAGAGAAAATATTCTTTAAAAACAACCTGAGCTGACAGGGATTATTCACCATCAAGTACTAGCATCTAGTGAAATTTCAAGCTAGTCGTGACTACATTCAAGCTGCAGGTCATCAGCACAA